GCCATATCGCGCACAGCAGCATACGTGGGCGCAAATCCACGTAGATCTAGATCAAGTATATGATCAACTATCACCTCCTCTTCTAGCTTAGTGAGCTTCTTTGAGTTAGGCTGGCAATCGCGTCGAGCAGGTATACCAGCGCGTCGGCGGCGGATTGTTCGTTCAGACACGTTGTAGACAGCAGCAGCGCGACGATTACTTTGTGTTTGATGGAGATTAATAGAAGAAATAGCAAGCTGAATATCTGCTTCATTTAAAGCTAATTGAGTAGCGCTACGTTGAGCCATTGTTCGTTGAGATAGGAGAGGTGCGCAGGTTTGGTGGGGTGCGGCGCTCGCTTACCTGCGGCGCTCGCTTGCCACATACGTTAGTGGTAGTACAGAGGTGGCTTTCAAAAGTTCTTGCTGACAGGGGTTCCTTGGTTACCACCGAAAATATAGCCGAAGACTAAGAATTATACTATATTCGCAACTAAAAGCCCTTAAAATGGAAGTTTGGAGAGAATAGTAGCTACTAAAGTATACACTTACAGTAGTACACTAACTATATTAGGCATTATTTCTTGCACGCTAAGTAAATAATGGAAACGTTATCACGAGAATTCGGTCCGATGGATCCGCGCCTTAGCAAGAACTTTTGAAAGCCACCTCTGTAAATCTAATGCTCACAATAATAAGTGTACAGGCGGAAATAATAAAAGCAATGTCATGACCAATCTCGGACGACAAGCCCGAGCAGATTAGGGAATGACCAAAGCATAGAATTCCAACGCCAAGCCAACGTGTACGCCCATTGACTGCATTACATTTTTCTTTCTCAGGCTTCCCTACTTGGGCCATCTGGGCAACGAATTTGGACGCGACTGGAACATTGCAGCGCGCTCTTTTCTGGCAATAAACATCCCTAGAATCACAGTGGCGACGACAAACAAGACGATTTTCAAGGCACGCCGTACCTTGTCAGAGGAAGAAAGAGGTGCACTTGACATTGAGTCAGACGTCGAACATGCTTAAAAAGGAGGAAAAAAATCATGTCGACGGCTGCTGGCGCCAGTAGAAAGGAGGAAGTGAGATTGAGCAATTAATCCTGCTCCTTTTCGTACCCTGCTGGCTTCTCCAAGCCATGGAGCTCGTAGTAGCGAGAAGTGCCTGTCAATGTGTAAGCAATTGCTCAGTCAGTAGGCCAGGAGTCGACTTACAGCTGTAGCCCTTCCAGTCAAAGTTGTCCTTGGGATTGCACGAGCACTTGTGCTTTAGGCGGTAGTCTTCGCCCGTGGGGCAGTGCGTGAAGGGAACGTGGTAATAGGCAATGTCGTTGAAGAAGTGGATCTGGTCCTTGGGCAGAAGCAGACCAGCGGCAATCGAGTGGACCGGGGCATCACCCCATCGCTCGTAGAAGAATCCGCCCGCATGGTCGAGAGAGGTGAAGAAGTCAATGTATGCGTCGGATCGCAGCCAGTTGAGGTTACCAATCTCAAAGTTGGACCAGAAATGGCAGTGGTTGTATGTCTCGCCGCCGTCGTCACTGAGAAACTTCATCGAGTTGTCCTTGCTGATGTGCTGGGGGTAGTGCTTGGTGAAGTTCTTGGTTGCGTCCCAGAGGGTGGGGATCGTCTCGACGTACTCGTACAGACTGAGAGTGAAGCTGTACTTTTTGTTGTTCTCGGCCATGAACTTGAACGTGTCGTAGTTGATGTCGCAGTACATCTTGACGCTGGGCTCAACACGCCAGTACCACTCGTAGTCGAGCATCAAGGGGTGGCGGAAAAAGAAGCCCGACTCGTAGCGGCACATGTGTCTGTAGCTGACCGAGTCTCCGTAGATGATCTTCTTCTCCTTCATCTCCTCGCGGACCTTTGCGGCCTTGTCCTGGTCGATCCATTCGGGGAACGACCAGTGCTCCTTGGGGATCTTGCCGTACTTGGTCTTGCCCGACACGAGGGCCGTGGTCACCTTCTTGAACTCGTCGTTGAAGTCGTCGTCGTTGAGGAAGACCCAGTCGTAGTTGAACTTGCGGTTGAAGCGGTCCTCGACCTGGCGGATCGACTTGGCAATCTCCCAGACATCCGAGTTGCGGGCAAGCGTCACAAACGTCGCGTTCATGCGGTCGCCGGAAGCGGTGGGAGGCGGGAGCGCCTTGTCGTTGGGCGTGGTGGGGGGCTTAGCGCTGGGCACAGTCTTGGGCTGCTCTTCGTCGTCGCTCACCACGGCGGCGTTGCCCTGAGGCCGGCCGGCGGGAGTCTTGACATCCTGGTAGGCTGGCCAGTTGGTGGCGGGCACAGACGACGAGGAGCCGATTAGGTAGAGGAGAACAAGGGCCTGCGACGTGTCAATGGCGGATCAGGGCCGCGCGAGGGGGTGGAGCGTACGATACTCGCAAAGACAATGTAGCGGAGATAGCGCTGGCTGCCTGCCATGGTCGAGGTTGGCTACGACGGCTGGGCGGACGATTGGTACTTTGCACGGAGACGGGGGGCCCTCCACTTTGCCTGCGTGCTGGTGGCGCAAGTGAGGGTCGGCGGTGGTGGGTGAATGGGTGGGTAGGTGGAGGAGCGTGTGAGGTACAGGCCCGGGGGGGTGAAGGCTTGGGGCCGAAGGGGCGCGTGGCGTCTTTCTGGCGGCTGCAAGGCTAAGGAGCGAATACTAGGCGCGAGGCATGCGCAGCAACAGGCAAGCAGGAGGCAAACGGCGAGGGAAGAAGGGGACAGACAGCGAGAGTGAGCGAGAAAAAGAAGAAGAAGACGGAGCACCCAGGGGGTGTTGCCAAGGGCAGTGTCAGCGTGAAGTCAGATTAAAAGGAGATGGGTTCCCGTTGGCAGCAGAGTGGCAGGACTATACGAGAGCGAGGTAACCAAGTGTGGCTGAGTAGGGCCAGCATATCTTTTGGGCCTGGGGTTGGCGGTGCCACGGGCGCTAGTGGCAGCAGGGAGCATTGTCGCCCGCCGCCGACCACAACAAGAGCCACCACCGACGACACGCGACGCCAACGGCCATCACCACCATCCAGACGGCGCCAAGAGCGATCCGACTGCGGTGCTGCCTGTGTGCCTGCTCGCCCCAGCTCTGCCTGTCTGATTGCGCCCATGCCACCGCCGCATCCCGCCCAATCTGCCCCGACCCTCGTCGCCCAACGTCACCACGCCCGCCCACGGAATATCGCCTCTGCCGCGTGCTGAGAGAACACCCCCGCCACCACCACCACTACTACTACCATCACCACCACCGCCACCGCCAACCCCATGTCTTTCTTCGGCTTCGACACGAGCCTGCCGCGCGACCGGGGCCACTCGTCCAATGCCCCCGGCTTCGGCCAGCACGACGCTTTTGCTGCCCTCGGCGGCGGGGCAGCCGATGACAATGTGTATGTCTGCCGTGCCCTCGTCGCCCGCCCTGGCGCCTGCTTACCCCTCCTAGCATCGACTTTGAAGACACGTACGACGGCCTAGGCGACCAGCTCGACGATGACGCCGACGACCACAACCAGGACACGTTTGGCGACGGCCCTGCCACGCAGCAGTCGGTGGGCAAGCACTTTGATTTTGCTGGCCAGACATCCTTGGTCGCCAGCACCCTGCAGGAGGAGCAGATGCTCTTCCACGCCCGCCAAAAGGTCCCCCAGCAGCAGCAGCAATATCAGCAGCAACAGCAACAGCAGCAGCAGCACTACCAGCAGAGGCCGCCAGTCCCCACCGCCTCCAAGCCCAATCGATCGGGCTATGAGAGCTACAAGGACCCCGAGTACATTCCTCAGCTCGAGGCGCGCGCCGACATCTGGGGCCTCAAGCCCAAGCAGCCCGCAGCCCAGCGCCAGCCCTCCCCGCAGCCCCCAGCAGCCGCCCAGCAGCCTGCGCCCACCAGGAAGGTCATGAGCATGGAAGAGGTCGAGGCCATGATGCGCGCCCAGTCGCTGAGCAACAACGAGTCCAGAGCTACTCCTCCAGCCCAGCAGCAACCCCTCGCGGGCTTCTCAGGCTACCACCAGCAGCAATACCAGGATCAGCAGCCGCAACTTGCCCAGGGCCAGCCACAGTATCCCGGCATGCCTGGCCAGTTTGCTCCGCAGATCTTGCAGAGACCCCAGCAACAGATCCGAGCTGAGCTTCCGGGCCAGCCTGTGCAGTCCCAGTCGCCCCAGCAGCCTACCATACTCCAGCGACAGCGGCCCCAGTCCAACGACCACAGTGTCCAGCCGCGACAGATCCTGCAGAACCCCAACCGTCTGTCAGGTCAAGGCCAGCCCATGCAACCCGGCCCACAGGGTCACTCAGTGTCTCGCAGTCAACCAGGTGTCCACAACAGAGGCCCCTCGTTTCCTGGAATGGTCATTACCCACCCTGAGCAACTCCTCCAGCTGTCCGAGGCCGAGCGTGCTGCTTTCCTCGAAGAAGATGCCAAACGAGCCAAGCGCAACCACAAAATTGCCCTCTTGGCAAAGGACAATGGCCTCATGACGCCCCAGGACAAGAACTTCATCACCCGCATTCAGCTGCAGCAGCTGATGACTGCGACTGGTAACGTGGAAGAAAGGGGCCCTGAAGCTGCCATTGCCGAGGACTTTTACTACCAAGTGTTCAGCCAGATCCGGGGAGCTCCACGCCACAACCCCCACCAGCCAGCGAGCCAGTTTGCTCAAACCTACCTCTTCCAGACCAACAATCGGTTTGGCGCACGTCGACATGGCCGCGGAGGCGACAACCACATGCAGCGCATGGAGCAGCAGATTCAGCGAGCTGTCGAGGCTGCAAAGGCTCGACCAAAAGCCAAGCAACTGGTTGTGGAAGGTAGCTTGGGAAAGATTGCGTTTAGCAATTCAAAGACACCGCGGCCGCTGCTCAACCTCAAGCGACCCGAGACCAACGACAAGCTTCCCAAGCCCCACAGGTCCTCGATTGCCGATCGCAAACAGGCCCTTCGCAACATTGAGGCTATCTACAAGACCCTGATGCAGATGGAAGACCATGAGCGGGCCATGCCAATGCCAATCCAAGAGAACAGCCCCCCTGAAGCGATCCAGGCGCACATGGAGTGGCGATCACGCATCGAGACGCTCCACGAGCAGCTCTGGCAGAGCACCAAGATCATGGAGCCGATAAATCCCAAGCATGTTGTGCCGTCCTGCAAACAAGCGACTCGTGCTAACGTGTTTAGTACTCCGCACCCCTTCATCTCGATTCTTTCACACGCCAAGGGCAAGAAGGTGATTCCGCGCCTCTTCCGCCACATCAACGAGCAAGAGCGCATCACGGTCGTGACCATGATAGTCGTCCACCTGGATGCTCTCTCCGTAGTAGGCCATGCCGTTGCGACGCCCGACGAGCCTCTCAGTGCTGCCATTCGAGAAGAGGTCGATCTCTTTTCACAGACGGTCATGTCGCCCATCCACGCGCACATCTCGGATGCGCCGTTGAACATTGTCATTGGTCTCCTAGGACTTGTTTTGGACCGCACCAACCTCCACGTCGTCGCCCGGAGCAGGATTGGTCTTACTCTGTTGACGTTCCTCATTTCTCGGGCTGAACTGCTGAAGCAGTCGGCGCCCGAGATGGTGACTGACTGGCAGCAATGGACTGGGCTTTACAACCGCTTGTTCGACGTGATTGAGCCTGTCCTTCCCTATCTGTTCCCTGGAAGCATCAACGACACTGACGACATGTACATTTGGCAGTTCCTGGCTGCAATGGGGGTGGGCGCCAGTCCAGAACAGCAGCAGAGGCTTGTGCTCGGCGTAAAGGACCGCGTCATGGAAACAGTGTCTGTTAGCAAGGCCCTGCCTCCTGACATGGCCAGCGCTCGAACGGCAAATGTGAACCTGTTCATGAGAGCCATTGGGTTGGATGTAGAGCTCCTCGGATGAAGTAATGCACTGGCACATGTTTGAGACAAAATAACGCCGGTGGCTGTGCTGATGCAATAGGCGGTTGTCGGAGAGGATGGAAGACCCGAGGTTGAAGCGCCGACATACCAGGCATATCGAGGCTTGTGATATGGCGGTGGGTATCTTGTGGCTTAGACGACGGGCGCAAGCAGAGTGGGCGATTGGAAATGCACGAGCAGGAGTACTGTATATGGGCTTGCAAGGAATTGGCATATTCCAGCAGCGCCCATGACGCGCTCGCATGCAAAGGCAATGCTCGCACCGAACCAGGGAAGACGAGCAACGTCCATGTACGAAGGTTAACAAAAAAGCGTTGTTATTTAATGTCCAAATATACGCATTGATTTCATGCTAACGGCTGCCGCCTGTCAAGATGATGTCCGGCCCCAATATCAGTGTACAGGTCCGTGCGCATACAGGTGGCTGTACGCCACTCTCAGGCATTGTCAGTTGTTACATGTCGGTGGCTGAAGATGCTTCTCTTGGTCGAGCACCGAGCCGTGGCGCGCTCCCCTGAAAGTCGTGGTTATTTGGTCAAGTACTGCCGCAGTGACATGGTGCCGGCGCCGGTCCCAGCGGGGGGGGGGGGCTTGTTCTGGTTATCTGACGAGCAAAACACACGGGTTGAGTGTTTTGGAAACACAACTGTTCGGATTGTAACTCGAGCACAAACGGCCGAAACATGAAGCCGTATCGGCGGCAAACCCGCGATGTTTACCTGCCGGAACGGTATTGTCATGCCGTGATTCATTATGTTTTTCATGACAGAAGGAGTTTGAAGAATCCACCAGACTTCTGGGGCACCAAAGGCACCGGGCGCACACGGTACGCTTAATGCCGCGGCACGACGGCTAAGCTTCGCCAGGATGCGCTTGTGTGGCGATTGGAGACATGGGCAGCGCCATTGGCAGACGGCTCTGCCAGCTGCTGCTTCTCGAGTAGCGGAGTCGAGCGGCGTGTGGTTTCATCGGCTTCATGTCGCCCAGTTAGCTTGTCTGGCCTTGGCATTCTGAAACGCTTCGCTTGGGGCTGCGTCAGCTTCCACGCCCATGCTCTCAGCCGCCGGCAACGGGTAGCGACGCGGCATCGGGAACAGACTTTGGGCAGCCGCATGTCAGCAACAACAGGACCGTGGCTGGCAGACTAGGTGTAGTCTCGCCCGGCCAGCCTGAGAAACGCCTCGACGAGCCTGGCGCCCCCGACCTCCCCCCTCGCCGCCCTCCGCCCCCAGTCGCTCGCCGCCAAGGAACTGGTTCGTGTATCCCTCGGCCTCCCTTTCTTGTGGCTTTCGCCTTTGCCGTGCTACGCCACTGAAACGCAACCGGACCCAAGCCACGCTGCCTGTCCACCCCTCGACTCCTCTCCCGCTCCACAATTCCTACCGGCGTCAAGCTGGACGCGTAACAACGTCCATCCCTTTATCGATACCTCTCCGATGGGGCTCTAGACGCCTACTGACCACTGGCTTTGCGCCCGCCTGGCCCACATGGCTTGTCCTGACACGCCAGTGGCCAGCTAGGCCCGCATCTAGCCACTGTGCCTGAAAACCTGACAGGAACTAGGCGTGATGTTCTCCATACATCGTCGTCAACACACCACGCGTAGCGTTTTGTCTGCTGCCGCGTGGATCCCCGCCTGGTCTTGAGTGTGGGCTTAGCGCCCTTGACCCTTTGATTTATGCGGCGACATTCGATCAAGTTTCATCTGTTGTCAAGTTGTACTCCCGCTTCAGCGTTGCTATTACCACATATTCCTTCTTTAAAAGTCTCTCTCCTCGCACTCTCGTTCAGTGTCCTCTCACCAAGGCCCAACTCCGCTTTCTGTTTCCCGGGGAAACCACGTTTCGTTTCGTCCTTTTCTTTTCTCCTCTCCCCCCTTCTTTTCTCTTCTTCTCAAACGATAGGTTCGTCCTGTCAGGCTGCCGGTCAGCGTTCGCCCAACATGTCTTCTCTCCGATTTATCTTTTTTGTTGCTCTTTTGGCAGCCGTTGCGCTAGCCGTCCCATCCCCCAAGATCCAAAAACGCTCCTTCAAGGTCCCCAGGCAATTGAACACGGCCCATCCAACTGGCCCTAATGGCCCTGCTGCTCTGAGGAAGGTGTTCAGGAAATACAACTTTCAGATGAGGGAAGACTTCATGGTCAAGGATGGTTTCATCTCCTTCTCCAAGCAAAGCCAGGATAATGTCACCACTGAATCTGCTGCCGCTGCTGCCGCTCCTGGTGGCACCAACAAGACTGGAACCGTCGCTGCCAACCCTGCGAACAACGCTGCCCTGTTCTTGTCACCCGTCGATGTCGGTGGACAGACCCTGAACTTGGACTTTGATTCTGGTTCTTCCGATCTGTAAGACTATACTCGTACATATTGAATGCACTGTGTGCTAATCTGTAACGCGCAGTTGGGTGTTCAGTACTGGTCTTAACAAGGCCTCCATTGGTCAGCACGCTGCTTTTGATCCTACCAAGTCGACCACTTTCAAGAAGATCGATGGTGCTCAGTTCAAGATTAGCTATGGCGATGGCTCTGGCGCTTCTGGTGTCGTTGGCACGGATGATGTTACCATCGGAGGTGTTACGGCCAAAGCCCAGACTGTCGAGCTTGCTACCGCCGTCTCGCAATCATTTGTTCAGGACGTCAACACTGACGGTCTCGTCGGCTTTGGCTTCTCTGGGCTCAACACTGGTAAGTCTTGTGGCTCACAGTTGCAGCATCTTGTACTAACAGTCGACTAGTCTCCACCAACGGTCAGAAGACTCCCCAGAAGACCTTCTTCGCCACCGTCATGAACAACTTGGACCAGCCCGTGTTTACCGCTGACCTCAACCCGGACGGCTCTGGAGTTTACGAGTTTGGAAAGATCGACAGCACCAAATTCACTGGTCAGATGGCCTGGGTTCCCGTCAAGGCTGAGACTGGCTTCTGGCAGTTCCCCTCTACCAAGTTCGCTGTCGGTAACCAGGAGTTCTTCAACCCACAGGGCTCTGATGCCATTGCCGACACCGGTACCTCTCTTCTTCTCGTCGACCAGCAGGTCGCTGAGGCATTCTACTCGCAAGTCAAGGGTGCTCAGCTCAATGCTCAAGTCGGTGGTTTCATCTTCCCCTGCAATACCAAGCTACCGGACATGAGTGTTGCCATTGGCGACTCGTACATGGCCAAGATCCCCGGTAGCCAGCTCAACTTTGCGCCTGTCGACCGGGCCAACACGACTTGCTTCGGTAGCGTGCAGGGCAACCAGGGTGCCGGTCTGCAGATTTACGGCGACACCATGTTCAGGGCGCAGATTGTTGCTTTCAACGGTGGCAACCAGTCGCTCGGTATCGCCGCCAAGAAGAATGTCAATTAAGCGCAGTCGAATGCCGCGAGAGTCTGTTTGTAGTACAAAAAGAGCCCAAGTAGGTATACGGGCTTGTAAATAATTGCACCTCGTTTGAACCATTCACTTGGAAATATATGAGACGGCCGATAGTAAAGGCAGAGCAAAGTACATAGCTGCCACTTAATGAATAAAATATCATGGAATCAATCTTGTCTGCTGCATGCCTGACTGTGAGGGGGGACGCTAGTGATAGCATGAGGAAGGCGCGACCTGGACCCAAAACCTAACCTCTGCCTCACCGTCCTACATCGCCGGCTGGGGCTTTCTTGTCACATCACTTAGATAAATTATACTGTTCGATACATTGCTTGTGCCTGCAATGGATTCGGGGCTCGGCTCTGGCTCCCCAGGGCAAGACAACGAGCCCAGCCTGCTCGAGTATGCGCGAATGCAGAACATCTGCGTAGACTACACGACTGAACTTGTATCCTTTCTCAAAACCGGCGTACATTCCAATGAGACCTTCGACCAGAGTCTCTGCGACCTCCCTGACTCCTCCATCACTAATGCAATCCCCGCACTAACGCGAGAACGGCTTGCGGTAAGCAAAGAGACGGCACTGTTGCTCAAAGCAGTCTACAGCCTTGAAGAACACCCCTCAGCCAGCTATTTCGGGAACGGCGGAAACCATCCAAAGCAAGAGCTCCCTGTGCTCCAGACAGACCACGACCTTGACCTGTTGAGTTTCGCTAGTGTGACGCCACTCGACTGGAAGCATATCAAGATCCCGTCCGAGATTATTATTGAACAAGACGACGAGGGTCTGGAATGGCCGACACGTTATCTCTCAATCGCTAAGCGATGTGACGCGCAAGCCAAGGCTGAGAAGCTTGTCGTCTCAAGACACGCGCTAGTTTTTCTACAAGAAGCTATCCGCGATGCATACGTAGTGGATGACGACGAAGCCACGAAATTCGAGCGCTTGGAATACGAGCAGGTATGCGGCCCGAAAACTTTGTAAACTAATACTGACTAGTTCAGGCTCGGGCTATTCGGCCTATCACGCCTCCTTTGCTTCCGCTCTCTCCGTTACAAGTGCCTTACGTACCTTCATCGCCCACGAATCATCTGCCACTACTATCAGATAGTAGTGACTCGGTCCGTGCAGAAGCATGCAGCCTGCATGAACAGATCATGGCCGCTGATTCTCTTACGCGGAAAGAATCAGACAGTAGCGACTCAATGCTTCTTGACGTCGTCCATCCGTCGCCGTTTAGCCCGCTGTCAGAAGCACGCGCATCCACTCCTTTGAAGCGCAAAGCTGAAGACTTGAAAGTGGAAGGGCCGCTAACACCACCTATCCTTTCCACCTCGCCAATGAAGAAGCTCAAGTCGGTTTCTTTTGCTACAAATCTAGACGAGTATATTTCATATGAGCCGTGGAGGCGGGACAGTGACACACATACCACCAGCGAGGATTTTGATGAGTTGTTCCGGGACATTGAGCCGCTAGCCGAACACGCGAGAAGGAAAGTAAGGAATGAAAGGCTCTCTGATGCTGATACAACGGCACGCGTAAGCGTTCCAGACATGGAGCTGTCATTACCCGTGGCGCCCTGGCTTGAGTATTGCGAACAAACCCGTAGTAAGTATCGATATGACGGGCCTACCGAGCTTCAAGCGCAGATGCAATTCCTGAAGAGAATCAAGCGCGAGGATCTCAAATCAGCAACATCTTGGCATGGACTGTCAATTCCGGAAAGAGAGTTACAATGGGGGTTTCTGACCACAAAAGTCTCTACCCTGAAGCTAGAAGAGAAACTCCATGGTGAATCCGAAGTGGAGCGGGTCTTGAATGAGATAAAATCAGGTAACATTGCGACTAGCTCGACACAGGTATGGAAATGTGACGGGTTGAGAATCCTCGATGCAGATGAAGAGGATGAGATAAAACCAGCGGATTATGACGAAAGGCGTGATGTGAAAGCTGCACTGCACAAGCGCAAACTGGAGATGGAAGAGGAGGCTGCGCAGGAATCGACCAAACGGACAGTCTCACAGTACCCTCCATGCCGACTGGTTCAGCTGCCAATGGACGCGTCGAAGACTCGCCATAGTGGGGAGCAGATATCCAGTGCACATGATCCAGTAAGCACGCAAGCAAAAACGCTCGATTTTAACAATCAAAAGCTTCGAGCAAAACGTCTTCTACAGGAATCCATACAAGATACAAAACACGCGGGTAGGGAGCTCATGTTTGGCGGGTTTTCAGCCACTAGAGCTCTCCAAAGATTCATGGAGACGCGTGGAAAGACTGTCAGTTCTGTAAAACCTGACAGAGTTGGGCTGCCTACCTTGAGCAGTCATGACCAACTAACGACCAAAACTGCACCGGCCGGGCTGAAAGGTTCCTCACACAGACAGACTGTAACGACACTAGCTGAGCACTCAGAAGAGGGGTTGCATAAGGCAGGCTCAAAAGGCAGAGGCAATACAGTTATGACGATACCTTTGCCGGTACTTCCCAGTGTCCCGACCGATCTTAAGCCATCTTCTTTCATTATTTCCACAAGATTCCTACAGCAAAGGGCACTGTTGAGACAAATTGAACAACAATATCCAAAGGCCGAGATGGTATACCGAGACTATGCTTTGCCGCACTCAGCAAGCAACGAGGCCGACATGATTCTTTCGCCATCCACCGGTCTGATTCTCACCACTCTGCAGCAGATCAAGCAAAGAGCTCTTCCTGGCCGGCCTGAGAGATCGCCGATAAAAGAACATATCGCCACTCTCCAGTTACGGTATGAAAGGCTGCTTGTTCTTGTCAGCGAGGGACTGAGCAGTGGATTGGAAGAACTAGGGTCCAGTCGACTCGAGGATCCACGTGATAGAGAGGTGTTACAGGAGATTGAAGCCTTTGCTGCTCAGATGGAGGGTGATGTACTTGTTCAGTATGTTCGTGGGGGCGAGAAGGCCCTCGTGTGTTCTACGGTGATAGAAATGGCAAAGTATGGACTGCCGCATGGCTCAGCAGACATTGGCGATATCAAGCCCATAGCTCAGGAGACCACGGTAAGCACATCAGTCCCTCTCGATAGCACAGCATCTAACTCTCGATTGGCAGTACGAAGTCTTCCTCCGCCGAGCCGGTCTCAATCCATTCGCGGCCCAAGCAATCGTGGCACTGCTGAAGAAGCCCTTGAGTCTGGAAGTTGGACCCTCGTCAAGCTCGCCGTTTCCAGCTGAGCCGAAGAACATAGCGGTAGCTGGCCTTGGTCGCTTTCTCATGATGAGCAAGAAGGAGAGAATACACGCATTCCAAGCGCTCATGGGCGGGAGCAGGATACTGAGGGGCGTCAGTGATGTACTAGACCAGAAATGGATCAGCGCTGCGCATGGTTTCAAGATATGACGCAACACGGCTCAACGGCATGCTGATCTTGGGATGCGTTTAAGACACGCTTATGTCGAGAGTCTATGTTTCAGCCATGGCGGCGGGGACTAATGCGCCACGGGAGTTTCGCAGTGGCCGTCAGTCACGGATATTTTTTGCTAGACAGCAACGGCTGATGTGGGGTGAAGCTTGGACCCACCATGACGCAGGCAAAATGAATTATGTCCAGGCCAGTCACGATATGTCGTTCTTTCATGAACACGGCTCTATGCTCAGCTCGCAGCCTCCGTGCCACCCAAGTTGCCTCTGGTGCTTGATCGCATCCTAGATACCGTCCAACATGTCTTCTCCAGTGGGCATAATAATCTCCGGCCGACCCGTCATTACCGAACCTTCTTCCGTCATCTCGCCTACACAGTCGGCGTTCCAGATTCCCTCGCAGCCGTCGTTTTCGCACATTGTCGTCTTTCTCCTCCCCGGAATCACTCTGCCTGATGGGACTGCTGCCGCCGTGTACGCGCAGCTGCCCGGCACAACCGACTTCAAACTCCTCGGCGCCATCGCCAACGAAAAGCCCAGTGCCATCTTCAAGGTCAATACGAAAGCTGGGGGTCCTGCAGGCGGCGGCTTAGGCAGCGATGATGCCATGGTCGATGAGGGCGTGTCTATGGAAGCGGCAAATGGTAGCAGCGCACCGCTGGCCCTTGGTATAAGCGTGGAACCTGCACAACAAGTCGCTGCAGCCCTCGAGCAAAACAAGGCGCGCGACGCTGCGATTTCGGCAACGACAACTGTGAGTCAGGGAAACGAATTGGTCGTCAGGGGCCAGAGGAGTGTGGAGACAAAAGTGCTCGCGCAGAGAATCATCAAGAACTGTTACGACTTTTTGACGAGCTGGGGCACGGGCGATACTGTGCCACTCAAAGCCTTCCAGGCATGGTGGACCAAGTTTGAGGGCAAGATTGAAAGGGATCCGGGGTTTTTGGAGCGGAGCGACGGTGGTTGAAGGTTTGGAGATACCAGCGAGATCGCGAACGTGGCTGCATTACTAAAGGATGCTATGAAGATACGACATACCCACACAGATACGAGATAATACCCCAGGCGGCGCATGAAGCCAATTCAAACCGACTTGTTTACACCATTCCATTCCGGCTCCGCAAGCCACGCCGTGTACATGGCATGAGGCCACGAGACCTTGGGCGCCTTCTCGGGATTTCGCTTTGCCTGTTCGACAACTGCGTCGCCAAGCACCTTTTCGATCTCTGCCCGCCCGTGCTGCGCCTCTAACTTCTCCCTCATTGGCTGGAGCACCTCCCATTCCGCGCTCTTTCTTCCAAAGTCCGTGATTACAGCAATTCGCACGAGTCTGGAGAGTTCGCCTATGCGTTCCGCGATGCCGGGAGATGTGTGGCATGCAATGGCCGTCCAAACGCCATGCGCATCCGCTTCGCTGACGCCAACGCTGGAGAGATGCTTGACTGCTGCATCGGCTCCTTCGACCTCGAAGCGCTGTGGCCCATTGCATTCTTGCGTAGTGCCCATATCGTGGAATAGACATGCGGTAAATAGCAGGTCGCGCTGTAGCGGAACCGTGAAGTACTTGGACCTGTTGTGTTTTGCTATTGCCTCTGCGTAGTGGAAAACCCGGATGCTGTGATTCAGAATCGAGGGATGCAGCATGCTGGCTGCATGCGCATATGCCCTTTTTGATATCGGTGTATTGGGTAGCGAATCCAGGGGGTAAGTGTCGGATTTCCAGTTGCCATCTCGAGCGGTTGCGCTGGCGAGGTCGGATGATGGGCACATATCTTGCAATGCCGATTTATGGGGAGTGTTTTGATGTAATTACAACTGTTGAGTTTGCAGAGTTTGCTTCCTCAGAAGGTCTGTTATACATCTTTGCTGCGCCCTCTTGTCATGGATTTCCTGTTTAGGCCAAGCGTTGAGTGGAGATTGTCATGACACAACTCCAAAAGTGCACCTTTGGCAACATGCTGACAGGTAAAAAAGAACGATATATTTGGTACATAATGGCATTATAGTTCTGTTTGTGTCCATTTCGCAGCTCTATGTGCTCTGCATAGCATGTCAATTACCAATCAGATCGAGCTGCCTGTATGAATGTCCTGGGCATTCCTCTAATACTTCCGGCCGATGCCGCTCGTCACTTCAACACAGCAAAGCGCCTTCTGACACACCGAACCCAAACTGCCGCCATGAGAAACACCAATGACCAAATCTCACAAGAAATGCATCTGTAGCCTTTGCAACCCGCGCTTGGCATTCTTTCCCAAGGCCTTCTAGCGGCTTGAGATAACGCATCCTTGCACGCAAGTCCCACTGATAAGCAACGACACACCAGGCCAAGTCCCGTCAACTCGCACAGCCAAGCACCCTGTACATGGTATTGGCCAGCAGGATTCCCTTTTTGTACTCCATGCGGAAATACCAAGGCGAGACGATACCCACTGGTGGCCTGCAGCTTGAACATGGTTCGAGATAAGCGACCGTAGAGATAGGCATTGCAAGCTGGCCGACGCTGGAATTGACACATTGTGGGGTTATACAGATATGTCTGCAAGTATAAAAGCCGGTATTGCCAATCATTAATTGGCCTTTTGAGATGAGAATCAGAGTGCCGTGCCAACCGGCAAGATGAAGGCCTTTACGCAGCTCATGCCTCTTCTCACATGCTTGACCCTTGCATCACCCATCGACCTCACTCGATCAGACCTGCACCGGCTCTTCGTACGCCAAGATGTCAAGACACCCATCAACGCCTCCCTACCAAACGTCACCATCTTCGCAACCGGCGGCACAATCGCCTCACAAGGCAGCACAAACACACAAACAACGGGCTACTCGATCGGCCTGGGGGTCCAGCAACTCGTCGACGCCGTCCCCGAACTCCTCAACATCTCCAACATCGCAGGCTACCAAGTCTCCAACGTCGCCTCCGGAAACATCAATTCGACTATCAGCCTCGCGCTCGTCCACCACATCAGCCAGGAGCTAGCCAAAGACGACGTCGCGGGCGTCGTCGTAACCCACGGCACCGACACGCTTGAGGAAACCGCCTTCTTCCTCGAATCCACAATCAACTCGACCAAGCCCGTCGTCATCGTCTGCGCCATGCGCCCTGCCACAGCACTGAGTGCAGACGGCCCGCTGAATCTCTACCAAGCCGTGCAGCTCGCGCGCTCACCCGCCGCCCGTAACCGCGGCACCATGATTGAACTCAACGACCGCATTGGCTCTGCCTTTTACACCACCAAGATGAACGCAAACACGCTCGACACCTTTTACGCCACCGAAGCCGGCCAGCTCGGCGTCTTCATAAACCAGATTCCGTATTTCTTTTTCCGCCCCGCTGAGCCCGTCGGCCGCTTCGTGTTCAATGTCTCAAGCGTGACGGAGTTGGCCCATGTACCCATCTTGTATGCGCACCAGGACATGTTTCCCGCGCTCTTCCACGCTGCGTATACCGCGGGCGCACGGGGGATAGTGTACGCGGGCGTCGGTGCAGGCGGCATGTCATCTGCTGCGAATCAGGATGCCCACGCCTTGTACAATGCCACCGGCATCCCTATTGTAGCGAGCCACCGCAGCGCAGACGGCATGGTACCGCCGTCGAGCGACGAGGCTGATTTCACCATTTCAAGTGGCTTTTATAATCCGCAGAAGGCGAGGATCTTGCTGCAGTTGGCGCTCACCGTGGGGTGGGATCGCGAGAGGATTAAAAGTGCCTTTGCAGAGAGTTATCCTATGCTGTAGTTTGGTGCCCGAGGTACGTGTAGCTTGTTCTAATATATTCATATATATATATATATCCTTTTGATTGTTATTTTTTTTCTTTGTTTTTACTTGGTGATGTGGTTATCAGTACAGAGAGATATTTGTTGAGTGCGAAGTCGTCGTCCATATGCAGGTTGTTACTTAAGAGATATCAGGACAAGTCGAAGAATAAAAATTGTTCGAAGAGTATGTGTGTACGTACATACATACATACATACATACATTAGGGAAATCACAAGAAGACAATTAGAAAAACATACAAACACTCACTTGACAAGTTTGTTATACTTGGTTTACTAAAGAAAAGAAAGAAAAAAACTACAAGTTTTAGTAACTACTTCTCCTTACTTACCCTCAAAGAGAAAAAAAAAAGAAAAAAAAGAGGGAAAACAAGGATTCAGAGTACCGAGGGAAGATCAGAAAAGGGATGACATAACCAAGTCGAAACTCAAAAAAAAAACCAAAAAAGTACAGTGATGAAGATTGCATCTACGTACATACCGCTACTTACTTAATTTAGCTGATATCTAACTGTTTACACTGGCGAGGAAAAAAAAGAGAAAAAAAAAGAGAAAAAAAAGAGAAGAAAAGAAGAGGAAAATACATTCAAGTACGTGAAAAACGGCGCTACTTATATAACCACGATACGTATGGATGTATCTAGACATATATGTGTGTTTGTATGTAAAAAAAAAAGAGAGAGAGAAGGAAAAAGAAAACGAAGACATTACGCTGCATACACTGCACCTCATTCTCTTTCCCTCTCCCTTCCCCCCCAAACCCGTCAGACCCAACCCATCGCAACCCGCCCACCTACCTACCTACCTACCCACCACTCTCAACATGCTACAACCCGCCAGCACCGGCACTCCCCTGACTCCCCTCGCGTCTCGGGGCGCCCTCCATGCCCTCAAACGCACTCCCGCGCCTCCCCAGATTAAACATGCTCCCCTCGCTCCCCTGCCTGCGTCCCGCGATGCCGCTGGGCCCACCAAACGTGCTACTCAGAGTCCAGCCTGCAGCCGCGGGACTCGCGTCTCGAATGCTGATGGCAGGGGGCAGCCCCAAACTGGGTATCTTGTCTTCGCCGACAGGCAGGATGCGGGGCGAGGGCGAGGGCGCGTGGCGCAGGGCGTCGGTGTAGAAGACGGAGAGCAGCGCGGGGTTGGAGCACAGAGACTCCATTTCCTCTTTGACTTGCTCGGGCGTCTGTGCGCTGGCTGCTGCGAAGAGCGACGTTGTTGTCGCGCTGGCTGTGGAAGAGGATTTGGATTCGTAGTTGGAGAAGGCAGTGTGCAGGAGGCTGGCGTCTTGGACGGGGCGCGCAAGCGGGCTGGAGAAGGGGCTGCGGTGTGGATTTCCGCGCTCGACGGCGGGCGTGGAGGGCATGCGGCTGCTCTGGCTGCCGTCGGTCGTGGCTTTCTTGTGCTCGTAGGGATCCACGTGCCGGATGCGGCTGGTGTCTTTTGAGCGCGTGTGAGCAAGGCGGTTTGCAAGTAAGAGAAAGTTTCCCTCCTCGGTGATCTGGGCGAGCAGGCCGCCGCTGCGATGGATGAACTGCGTGTATTTGTAGTCTGGGCTCCCCCAGGAATACGTGACTTCGACGTCTGCTGGAAAGGCGCTTGCGGCTTCCATGTCCAGGACAAAGTTTAGTCTGCGGAGCAGGGCTTTGTGGTATATAAATTTGTCTGTCCTCGAGAACTGCGGAGAGAAGCTCGCAGAGTCCCACATGTTCTCTGGCTGGGCTTTAGGAGGCTGCAGCGCGAGTTTGATCAAGTAGGGCGATCGGAAGGGGTGGTGATCGATAATGTTTGCTATTTCGGCAATGGGCACCTCGACCAGCTTCAAGCCGTACTTTTCCACACTGGTAGCCCACGTGACGATGGCATCTTCGATCAGTTTCGCTGTTACGTTCATCCAATCGATACGGATGTGGTAACAGTTGTCAGGATTGTGGAGGCGGTCGTAATGCAGAGAAATAATCTCAGGCCGATATGAACGCTTCCTGGGATCCACGTCGTAACGCATGATACGCGACAAGACGACTTTTCGCTTTGGAGGCTCAACGCGGGTTGGCGTCTTTTCGCCCTCACTGAGAGAACTGGAGCTAGTAGACGAAGAATCGCCCGTACCGGGTCGTGACTTGTGGCTCTTGGAGATCAAAGGCGACGTCCGTGGCGCTTCTGAGAGTGGCGTAGAAGGAACAGATTTGTCCGTCTTCCGCATGCCAAACCACCCGGTTCGCGATTCGATTCGAGGAGCTCTGTATTCGGCTGCAATCTGGAAGAAGAAGTTACCATCGCGGAACGGATGGCGTCGCTGTACATGCTGGAATAGACCCTTGTGCATGAGTTCATTCCCAAAGTCAACAGCTTCGTCTCTCGTCTCAATGTCTTTGAAATTTGTGAGAAGCCAATTGGTGAGATCAAAGCCCAGGAAGCAATTGTAGTGGAGTTTCAGATGCCATCGGCGATCCAGCATCTGGATACCCTTGTCGCCTTGGAGATCTTCTGCTAGTTTCTTGATATCAATGTTCGAAGTATGGTACTTCTCTGCGTCTGGAAAGACAGATGTGTGAAACTCGCTGTCAGTGTCGTTGAGCAAAGAGTTATCTAGGCCTGCTGCAACCACGGCCGAGGGATCGCGGGTATGATACTCAATGGCAAGAGGATTGGGGTCCTTCTGCTTCGAGACAGAAGCAGGCTGGGAGTAGCGCTCCTCTGGTAAAATGAAGCGGAACTTTTGCCACAGCTGCGTGAGCTTCCGGATTCCTTCTAGTCGTATCTCTTCTTCAGAGTCTTCCGTGAGCATCGGTAGTGGTCGCCTATGCACTGCCGGTATCTCGACCGGAATCAAAACGAAGCGAGCTCTCCAGAAGCGCAGGACCTCAGAAAACTCATCATGGTAGCCAGCCAGAAATGTGTCAATAATGTTCCAGTTATATTCCCTCCGCGGTGGGCGCAGAACGATATCCCGAGGATCGTAGGTGTCTTCGAAAGCAGTGCGGATGTAGGGTCTGTAAGGAAAAGGTGCGTCGACGCCAGCAGACGACTCCAGAGCTGTCGTAGGCTTTCTGTTATAGCGCCTTACCTCTACCTCTCCACCTGCTACACATACCAGCTGATGGATGTTATTACCAACACTCATAAAAACCGTATCGCCATCATTCGACATGTACTCGGGCGCCAGGATACTAGCAAGGGTCTTCTCTTGTCGCCCCGAAAACTCCGCAACGGAAGAACCCACAATGATCTGGAATCCATGAGAAAGACGGAAAGCAATCAGTTCCTTGATGAGCGACTCTCTACTCTTCGGGGCCTCGAGCATGTCGTCGTCTTCGTTTTGTGTAATCTTGTACGGACTCTCATTGTATTCCGAGGCGACTTGCTCAACTGACGGAAACCATTCATGAGTCAAGGGCACAGCAGCTGGTGAGCACAACGACCTCCATTTGACGGTACCGGTTCTGAGTGTCCTGGGAAAGACATGATGCCAGCGCCGATATTGGTTTTTGGAGTTGATGCTATTCTTCTTGGGGTTGCATGGATTGACCAAAACTGCCCAGGGTGAAATAGCGCTGGTCGGGGACAATGTTCGAGGGACATCTCTGGCACCTCCACTAGAAGATAAGTCGGGTTTTGGTCCGACGTGCTCGCCCGCCCCGCGTGCTCCCGCGAGGAGGAATGTTGATCCGGGATCTCGAACGACTGAGCTAGGTTGCGAAGGGGTCAAAGGCTTTCCAGATCGCATACCTCTGACGGTATCGATCGAACGGCTGGCGCGGTCAGAAGCAAGCGATTCGGCCGACGCAGGGCCAGCGCGCGAGGCAGGCTTGATGGCAATGGGTTGCGAAGCTTTCTCTGTCGAAGCATGGCGAGTACTGGCTAACCGCTCCGCAATAGCACCCTTTTGGTTCTTTTCAACAGTCAGCATGGCAGGTTTTACTCTGCCTTGACTAATATCAATTGTAGCATCCCCCAGCGTGGGCTTGGCTGGCGCTGCTTTTCCACCAAAGCTCATCTGTCTTAGAAACCAGTTGGAGGGCCTGCTCTTCATCTCAGGCTTGGTGGACGAAGCTGTTGCCGCACCGGTAAGAGGTAGGAGACCGGCTCGCCTAGATGGAGACGTTCCTCGGCTCGGTGCTGGAGATTGCTTTGGAGTGGATTGTGTAGAAACTTGATTTTGTTGGAAATCTCCAGAGTCATCCCTCTTATGCGACGCTGGACGCCCTGAGCTGGGGTTGTTTTTTGACCAGTTCTTCTGCCGTTGAAGAACGTCAGCACGCGGAACGCCTTCCCCTTTATAATCAGAGAGACGGTAGGCGGTTCCGCGTGGAGACTGACTCTCTGGATCCTTTGACTTCTCTCGCATAAGCTGCGGGAAGTTGGCGTCGGGCGTTGGACGGGCAGTTTTCGCAATGGACGGGGCCACGCTGCGGAACGAAGAGGACAGCTGAGAACTCCTCGACAGATCGGGAGAGCCACTGGACATGTGATCGCTCAGCCTTGTCTGATGAGTCTGGGTACCCGATGTGGAGCGTCTTTCCATAACCGGGGAAAAGACGCCGTTGTCATATGCCTCCATCCATATTTTGTGCGCAGCTCTACCTTCGTCCAGCTGGTCGTTGGTGTACTCTTTGTCCCCTCTTGACGAGTATGAACCTGCCCCTGTTGCAGAGGACTTTACCACAGGAGCCTTTTTCTGGCCCTCTTCATCCTGATCAAACCATTCGCCCAAATGATGTGGGTACATTGGATCTTCTTCCAGGTATGGAATAGCAATGTCGCCCAGTTCATTCTCCATGACGCCCATCATTTGAAGTTCGAAAATACGGCATCTCAGGGAGAAAATGCGGCCTTTTTTGCGTGACTTCTTCACAATCTTATCGGCCTTTCTTGGTTTCGTAAGTTCCAGAATCTCTTCGGAAGTGCCAGACCAGAAAGAAATGTCGATCCAATAAGGCATGGCAAATCTCCAGTTGTCTGAAGCATCTGTAGAATCGCCACCCGGCACATGCTGTGCCATGGCCGCATGCGAGACTGAGCCAAAGTTAGGCTGGCTTTGGCGGGGTGTCTTGTCTTCTTCGATCCGCGATATCGGTATGGGTTCATGTTGTTTCTCATGCTCAGCTTTCAGGTCAGACATGGAGCGAGGTGTTTGATATTTGAACAAAGGGACAGAGTGAAGTGGCATTGGCGAGAGACACACAAGGTCAATGCCGATGCCCGATCCGATAAGGGTATCCGTAGTCAATTTGAGCATGTTGTAATCCACTTCGAAAACACCTGTTCCAGGGCTGACAACTATGACGGAGATGCCAGTCCGGACGAGGTCGCGATCAATATAGTCTTTGGAGAACTGGGCTGCGGCCAAGTTGATCGCTTCAAGGATGTTGCCTTGGCTCGCAGACGATGGCCTTCCGGCAACAACGACCTCCGTCATCGGACCATCCGATCCAGTGTCGTCTTTGCCAGATTGCTTTACAGGCTTGTGGACAAGAGAGACTTCTCGCAGGAACATTCTGAATTCTTTCTTGAGCTGATACAGAATGTTGATCCAGTCACCGCTGGCCATGTCGCTCACAACAACCCGATAGTAGTCTCTGAAAGCGCCTGCATGTGTGTCAAAGTGGGTGTCGCTTGTCGCTCCTTCTGGTCGATCAGCTACTGGCTCGCCGTCGTATTGCATTCGAGTAAATAGAATGATGGTAACGAGGTGGCGGGCGTTGATCCTCAACCATCTCTTGAACAGATCTGGGAGAAAGCCGCTAACAACTTTGTTAAACATGATTTCGCCGGCACCTTCTGTATCAAAGTCCCACATCTCCCTTGACATCTGGATGAAAAGGGTATACCGTGCTGATTCGCTGCGGAAGATGGGTTTCGACTTGGGCGAGAAATATCCTGAATGAACAGATTGGCCGTTGATGTAGATATGCTTGATCGTTGCTTTGATGGTTCCCATAAAGAGCAGCCTCTGGCCGCGATAGACGGTACGTTTACTTAGCTCGGAAATCGCCATGCGCCACATGTCTGCGCGCGCAAGGTATTCATCACGAAATACAATCTCCACATGGTGGGCTTCATGCAGGTCTTCGTCGGCCTCGGTGACTACAACTTGCATCCTGTTGCGGAACCCGAATACCTTGGCGATGCGTTCGGATATTGAGACCTAGGCTGGGTTAGCTGTGCTCCACGTCCATCTTGAACCCGACATACCTGTAGGTTGGGATATTTGGACTTCAAGTCTGCAGGAAGCGTCTTTGGGACAAAAACATAGGCTTTGTCCTCATCAATGTCGCGCCCGCCAAGAATAGTAGACCCATTCTCATCAATAGTTATCGTGTTTGAGTCCCGACGATGTCTCTTTGGATGACCATGCAGGTAGCCATCGGCTGATGCCGCATTGAGTCGCGACTGGGCCACATTAAGCTGTGCGCTCTTTGGCCCTGCATGGAAATCGCGGACGGCGTTGTCTGTCTGTATGGCCAATATCTGAAGCAGGGAACCCGGGCCAGTGGGAAGCTCAGGAAATTTATCGCTGTTGAATACAATTTCGTCTCTTGAAAAGTTGTCATCATGTGTCCATAAGGTGCAAACCTTTTGCACTCGGGCCTGTTGCGCATTTGGCACGGCTTTCGACATGTTTCCTGGCGATAATCCGGAGACGGCTTCTAGCTTCGTGTAGGCTCACGGGCATGTCCAAGTTATTCATTCATACACGCCGAACGCGCGTCGTGTCATCATGCAAGATAGGCAGATAATAATCAATGATTCAAGCGCAGTAGGGCGACCAACCGGAAACTGTAGCGACCGGCGAGGTGGCCACACGTGATGGTTATCGTGTCGCGTCGTAAAATGCAGGGCCGTCTGCAAGGTACGTACTTGAGTGCCAAGCCGCTATCGTCTCCTTACGTAACACTAGCATTGCAAGGCATCATACTCGAGTCAATTCTACTCTCTGTACATATTGAATGTACTATTGCAAATAATGGCTCAATATTGATTGTCTCTGGCGATTGAGCTGGATTCGGCAAATACTTCTTTGATTGTGGACACTTGAACTGTTCTACAGCACCAGTTTCCACTCAAGAAGCACTTCTGAACGGATATATCTAGCTACCAAAGAATTAGGAAACGAATAGCTGAACTAAGAAAGATTGAGATCAAGGCAAAAGATATCAACTTTTGGAATGATATACAAGCAGCACGCAGTCTACCATGTATCCCCTTCATCAACCATACAATCATGTCACATATCTCCTCTTCAATGCTACAACTTCTCAATCCTCGCCCTCATTTCTTTCAAATCCTCACCCTCAACACTATCCTTCTTTTCTTCAACAAACTTTTCAAGAGCCGCGTCAATCTCATCCTGTCCATGAACAAAGTCCACCCAGCCCCTAACGCCGTCCTTCTCCAACGTCTTGACTAAGACATGCGCGACCGTTGCGCGACTGACCTTCTCCCCTGATCCAATCCTGCCCAGTTTGACTTTGCCCGCTGGCTCCTCGGTCAATGTGCCAGGCCTCAAACTAATACCGCAGAAGCGCTCGTTAGCGGGCACGCCATCCTTCTCTTCTTTTGCTAAGCGGTCGTTTGAGAGAATGGTAAGGACTTCATCAGCTGCAACCTTGGCTTTGTAGTAGTTTGGTAGTATCTCGTTGTTGACTTTCTGCGCCGAGGCCCAGTCGTCGTCGGTCCACCAGGGCGCGCGACCACGGCGGGAGGCGAGGTAAGACACTGTGAGGAACTTCTTGACAGAGGGTGTGTTGACGCTGGCCTTTGTAAAGGCAATGGCTGCGTCGCGGTCTACTGCAAAGGTCATTTCTGCGCCGCCTTTACCTGCAGCGCCTGTTGTGCTGTTAGTACATGGGTCAAATATTACAGCCTCTTGTCTTGTTCAAGAGTATCGAATACATACCAGCACTCCAAACCACCCAGTCAGGCTTCACTTGGTCTAAGATCCCCTTTGCATCCTTTTCGCTTTTGACATCTGCAACGCTACTGACAAGCACGCTCAGTTTCCCTGGCTGGCCCTGGCCCAGCTTCTCGATTGCAGGCTGCTGTGAAGCAGTGCGAATCATGCTTGTCACGTTCCATGATTTGGCTAAAAGAATAGGCGTGAGGAGCTGGGCTACCTTGCCGTGCCCGCCAATGAGGAGAATGTTGTGTGCCATTTTGCGCGTGATACAGAAAAAGTTCAAGATGGGAGATTACAAAGATGAGAGAGAAGATCTTGTGTTTTGTTCCGATGCTCTGGATAGAGAGCACTTCACATTGGGGATGGGCTAACATATGTATAGCAATGTCACGTGCATATTGGCTTGGTATGATGCTGACGCGATTCCTAATGACGTCGTTAGCGCTGCATGTCTCCGAGTATGGACCGATAGCCTATGTGTGTGCCGGTCAAATTCAACTTTGTCACCACCCATCTCGGGTTCGATTAGCAATAGCATAACATCATCATATTTCGAGGATTGAACTAAACATGAGCGAGAATCTGATTGTATGGACTTTTTGTGTCGTTTCCAGACACACTACGGGAAAACGAGATATCTGTTGCCAGTAATGGGCGGCTAGACTCTGAGCAGAGGTCAAAAAAAAAGAAGCAAGTATCGTATGGAGGAGTCTATGGACTAGAAAAGGAGAATGAGCATTGGGTAATACAATGAGGGGCACGATAGCCATCAAGCGCCAGGAACAGTAGGACATGGGTATTTTCAATGTGGTCGAACCCCCTGAGACAAAAACGCCTATGACGCCGCTGAATGCTTGAAATATGCATTTGCTGGAAAGGAGACCTTTATTACTCCCGATGCTCCAAAACGCGGAGAAATTTCGGGCGAGGAATGTATGTATGATGTAGCGCGTAGGAAAGAATTAGACTTTAGGTACCAGGGCCAGTTGACTTGGATTTGTCACTGGAATTCCCTGAGAAAGGCCCTACATTAAAGTCGGGTGTGGTCTCCATATTCTGGCTGGGAGGACCACGATATTGACTCGCGTCGGGAGCGAGGATGGGATCAGTCGACTTGGTGTCGGGATGGACCTCAATGCCATCATGGGCTTCGAGATCTTGCTTGGTGGCATTGCGGCCGAATCTGATCGAATCGTTATCGCCATTGCCGCGGTCAATCGGTGACCAACCCGCAACACTGCCTGCGACAATGCCAGCCATGACAGTTGCTGGGCCGAAAGCAGAGTTGGACCGAGATCGGGTACGACGACGGCTGTTAGGTGTAGGTGGTGCGGGAGAGCCGTCCTCTGTTTGGGCACCGTTGTTGGGGGTACCAGGCAGAGAATGGCTCGACCGGGATCGAGTGAAGATTTCCCTAGGATGCTGCACCTTGAACTTCATGGCACTGAGACGGCCGCCACGAACTTTCCTGAGGAAGGCAAGTTCATCACGAATCTCCAGCAGCCCTTGGTTCCAATAGTAGTCGTCATCGGAAATAACAAGCTCGGGAGTTTGTTTGCGCCTGAAAGCGTCGGGGATACACTTCCTGATAAGCTCATCGGGTATCAAGCGGACGATGACACCGACGGGCAGAGACAGGAAACCCAGCACTATCGAGTAGCCCCACTGAGCGCCGTTCAATCTTGTAACCTTGAAGGCCTCGCCACCGACAAAGATGATCATTGTCTGGCCACCAATCATGATGAGCAGGATGATGATGAAGAACCAGTTGTGGGTGATGCCTTCAAAGACATTGAAGCGGTTGTCGAGGCGGCGGTTGTTGAGAGCGTTGAAGATTTGCATCCAGACAAAGGTGTTGAAGACCAAAGCTGGCAATTGCTCCTTCTCGCGAGCACTCTGGTAACTGAGGATGGACTCGCCAGCAAAATAGAGGATGAAGGTAACCACCAGCTGGTAGATTGCCTGACCAATGATCATCTTCCACATGCGCAACGTAATCAAGGATGCAGATTTAGGGTCGGGCTTGCGGTCTAGGAGACTGCGCGTAGGAGGGTCGGTAGCAAGGGCCAGAGCGGCAAAGGTATCCATGATGAGGTTGACCCAGAGAAGTTGGACAGCGGTCAAGACAGATTCCTGCTTGGAGCTGGAGACGGCCGAGACAAAGGTGAGGAGCACAGCGGTGATGTTGACCGTGATCTGGAACTGGAGGAACTTCTTCACAGCGTCGTTGACGGCACGACCCCAAAGGAGCGCCTTCACAATGGAGGCAAAGTTGTCATCCATGAGGATGATGGCAGACGCCTCTTTTGCAACTTCGGTACCTGCAATTCCCATGGAAAAACCGACATCGGCAGTCTTGAGCGCGGGCGCGTCGTTGGTTCCGTCACCAGTGACAGCTACTGTCTCACCAAGCTCTTTAAGGCGCTTGACAAGTTTACGCTTGTCGTCAGGGCTGGAGCGAGCAAGGACACAAAGCTTGGGAATGACGGCGTCCATGTCCCGTTTCGACAGTTTGCGGAAAGTGGGGCCTTCCATGACAACACCGCCAGGGACTAGAATTCCACAGTCTTCGGCGATGGCTTTGGCAGTCAAGACGTTGTCACCAGTAACCATGCGGACATAAACACCAGCGTGCTGGCAATCCTTGACAGCCTCGCGTACGTTCTCTCGCAGAGGATCTTGGATACCGACAATAGCCAAAAAGGTCATTTTCTTGGAGATGTCCTTGAAGACTGCTTGGCTGGGATCGTCCTCGTTTCTGGAGGACTCGGCAGGCGGCCAGCTCTCGAAGTCGCGGTAAATGAGACCAATGGTTCGCAGAGAGCGAGATGCATACGTGGTGATGATCTGCTCGAGTGACTCGCGGTTGTCCCTGGACATGGGAGCCTCAAGGAGCTCCTTGTTGGCATCCATGACGATCTTGTCACACATGGCGAGCAAGATTTCCGAGGCACCCTTGATATACATGCGGTAACGGCCGTCATCGAGCTTGGCAACAGCGGCAGAGCATTTGATTGACGAGTCGAAGGGAACCACTTGAACAATGGTGGCATTGGCGCGCTCTTGAGCAACGCTGCCCAAGCCCAAGTAATCGCGTGCAAATCCAAGCAGAGCCGTCTCTGTTTTGGAGCCGATGAAGGGATCAGCACCTCCATTCTCGCTCTCGAAAGCGGTCGTGTTTTGGACAATGGATTGCAAGAGAAGATCCTTGACGTCGCGGCTCAGCGTTTGAACGAACTCGCTTGCTGAAACATCGTTGGGGTTCCCAACCGGCGACTGTGATACGTCCTTGCCCTTGGCACCGTCGTCGAGTGGTGGTGCCGAAGAAGCTTGGAGCTTGGAGTCACCAAAACGAAGAGCAGTTCCTAGAGTGCCGGCAACGACCGTCATTTTGTTCTGGGTAAGCGTGCCAGTCTTGTCGGAGCAAATCGTGGTGGCGTTTCCCATGGTTTCGCAGGATCGAAGCAGACGGACCAGGTTGTTGTCTTTGAGCATACGCGTGGTAGCAAAAGCCAATGCGAGTGTGACGGCTAGCGGAAGGCCCTCAGGGACAGCGACGACAATGACGGTGATGGCGACGATGAGGATGTTGAGGAAGTTTTGGCCCTTCTGAGCAGGTGTTTCGCTGCTGCCCTTGAGCTTGACGAGGAACTCAATGAAAAGGACAACGAAGAGCAACAAAGCAGCGGCTCCACCGAGTTTGGCAATGTAGGTCGCAAGCACGTTGAGCTTGTTCTGGAGCGGTGTGACTTCGCTGTCTTCGCGCAGAGACATCATGGTTTTCCCGTAACTAGAGTGAACACCGGTAGCTGTGACCAAAAAGGTGCCTACGCCCTCCGAGACCTTGGCGCCGGAAAGGATGAATGGATCCACCTTTTTGAGATTGTCGTGTCGTTCAATGGCCTTGAATGCCTCGTCTCCAGAGATCTTCTTGAGCAAGTCGGATTCTCCAGTCGCGGAAGACTCGTCACACTTGATTCCGTGGCCTTGGATGAGAATGCCATCGACGGGAATCATGTCACCAGGTTCCAGGTTGACTACATCTCCGACAAAGATGTCGTAGACGGAGACTTCGCGAGTGGTTCCCGAGCGGATCACCTTGATGGTTCGGTCCTCCTTTTTGCGGTTGAGCTTGACAAACTGTCGTTCCTTTTGCCAGTCGTTGGCGGCGCCGACTACTACGACAATGACAATGGCGACAATGATGGCTACACCTTCGATCCACTCGACGGCGGGTTGGCCGGGTTCGTGCTTGACGCCAAAAGTTTGGTACAGACCGAGAGCGAGCGAGATGACGGCAGCGCACGTCAACAAGATAAGAACCTTGTCATTGTAGGCCATCCATGCGAGCTGAAAGATGTTTTTCGGTTTTCTGACAGGAAGTCTGTTGTCGCTAAAGACGCGCTTCCGGTCAGCGAAAGAAGTTTCCTTGTGGTCGACGTGAGCACCGTCGGTAGGCGCAGCATGGTTTGGCGACGATGCCTTTTGCGGAGACTGTGTGGTACTCGGCGTGGTGGCTTCTTCAAAGGTGACGACACCGTCCAGGTGCTGCTCGTCGATGCTCAATCCGGCCCTTCGATCGGTCCGAAGACCCTTTTCTAGGCCGTCCAAGCCTCCAAGAGCATGGAAAGCTGACAACTGCACTATCATTAGTTCCATTCAGAAGCTTATTTGGTCGGCCCGCAGCGACCACTTACGCTCTTGGGGTTATAAAGCTTGGCCAGTTGACCTGGCGAAAATGCAAACTTGTTGTTGTCAACCTCAAAGTCTGCTTCGGTGCCTGGATCGGGTTTCAGAGCATCTTTGTCGTTTAGTATTTCGGTGGGGCCCAGATCGGCGGCCTTTAATGTCTCGCCCTGTGATGAGGCGACATAGGTGCCTGTACTGTTGGATTCGCCGTTTTCAGTCGTCGAGTCCATCGAGTTGCCTCTGGAGCGCGCGCCAGGGACATTGAGCAGGCCAGCATTGCTGTTCCACGCGGTTACGGGCGAGCTGATGTTATGTGGGCTCGTGGGTCTGCTTTCTCTGCTTTCAAAGGAATTGGCACTGCGCAGCTCCTGCGACGACGACGGGGCGGGCTGTGTTGGCGAGATGTTGTCTGCTGAGGGCCTGTAGTTGGTGTCGGAGATGACTTCCAGAGGCACAGGTTGGCTCATGTTGGGGTCGTTTGTGGCAGACGTGTCGATGGTGATGGTCGGCGCGCGTGGTCTTGAAGGACCATTGTTGGTCTGGTCACTCGCCATGGCGGCAGCCTAGGCCCCTCGAGGCGGCAATGGAGCGAGGGCTGCGTGAGGGGAGTGGGGTGGGCTGTGCAAGGCTGCAAGCGATGGATGTAAGCCGTAGGAATGTCAGGCGTGCGGTTCCGGTGAGGTTGCTAAGCTACGGAGGGAGAGTGCATGCGGGCTATAAAAGGCCGTCAAAGAAAGAGAGAGTGAGGGGGGCGAGTAGGCGGTGCCGTGCGTGTGGTCGTCACAATGGAAGCGCGTGGTACTGGGTGGGGGCAAGAGCCAGCGGACGCGAGCCTGGAAGCGGGCTCTTGGTACCAACCACCTTGTTGGCAGCTTGGGGCGGGCGGGTTTTTTCTCGCTCTCCAGCAGAGGCTGCGTAGTCGTCTCAGCCACGACGACGGTGTACTATGGCCGGGCAATGGAGATGGCCGAGGGGCGATAGTGAAGCACGGGCAGAGCGAGGGTGCTTACCCGAGAGGCTAGGAGCGCGGCAAGAGGCGACTTGATGTCGATGGAGGATGATTGCACTGGAGCTGAGCAGACCGGATAGCGCCTGTTATGGGCGAGGCTATGTTGCAGGGCTCGCGGGCAGGGCGCCCATTTGCGGGAGGCGAGTGTGGCTATGCTGGCGAGGTGGTGGTGGGCGTGAGGGAGCGCAGGGTGGCGATCGGGGGGGGGGAGGGGAGCAGGACAGAAGCACGCGGGTCAATGGCGCGTTGGAGAGAGCAAACAAGCAAGGCGAGGGCGGGCGCGAGAGAAGGTCGAAGTCGGGCGGACAGCGGGCAGCGGACAGCGGGCAGGACACGGGCACTATGACTTGAGGCCGACGACATTAAGGGCAGCCTCAGGCGCGAGCGGCGAAGGGCCATTCCCCCATAGTCGTACCAAGACGTACACAGCCCCATCTAGCGCCGTCGTCCCATGCACCCGCTCGGGCCTTATGCGCGCAGGACCACCAGTCGACGACAGGCTGGCGCGCCCCCGGTCGGCGTTTCACGGTTGTGGTTGTGGTTGTGCGCGCTCTCCACTGCCTGCCTGTGCCAAGTGCCTGTGTCTGGTGGTGGTGGTGGTCGCGGTGGAGTCTGCTGGCACTCGGCCACTACAACTACACTACACCACCACCACCACCAGCCGTGACACGATGCCACCACGTCGCCTGCTGCTTGGCCGCGCCCTGACTGGACCCGCGCCCGCCAAGGGAAGACGCCCGCTGCTGCCCGTGCCGTCAGTGCGTCATGTCGCTCGCTGCCACTATTGCACATGGATGCAGGTGATTGCATTGCTGGCCGGCCATGTCTGCCTTTTCTTCTTGCCGCCTCTCCTATTCCCCTCGGCTGGTGCCACGCGATGCGCGCCATGGGAGTCGAGGGGGTCGTCGGGGTCGTCGTGGTAATAGTAGCAGCAGCAGCAGTAGCAGCAGCAGCAGCAGCAGCGTCCTTGGCTTTGAGTGTCCTTGGTTGTCTTGGTCATGCTGGCCGTCGCCATCGTCGTCGTCGTCGCCATCTTGTTTTTGCCCATCTTCTTTTTTCCGACTGTTCCCCCCTTGCACGACCACTCGAACAAATTACCGCAACCGCCCTCCTGCCACCCCGGCCCTTGGCCGCTGCCACTGGGCATGGGCAACAAGATAGCCTCGACCTGTCCCCGGCGCTGTTGGCCTCGATTGCAGCAGCTGTGCGTGTACCTGAAGATCCAGGGCGGGCGTGGATAAGGGACATGTCAATCTCCGAGCAGCCAAGAGCCGAGGCCCCCTTGGCCCCCTCCCACGCCATGCCTAATTGGGCCTGCACCACGCTACGTCACTGCCGCCCGCGCTCCACTTCCACTTCTCTTCACTTCGCTTTCTCTTGCTACTCCAATTTCGCCTCTCTTTCTCTGCCTCTCGTGATCCGCCTCTCTCTCCCCCTCCCTCCATCTCCAGATACCGTCCGTCGCCTCCCCCTATCACACGTGTCTCGCCTGTTGCCGGGTTTCGTTGTCGCGCACGCTTGTCGTTCTCCAGACCTGAAACGAACGCCCACGAAGAGCAGAGAAAAGCATACACACCCCCTCTCAACACTTTGACAATTTGCCCGTAGAGGTGTGAACCTCGAGCTTCTTGCGAGTTTTGGCCTTCGGACGCTTGCTGCACCTGAGATCGGGGCGTGATTCAGGTTGCCGCTTCCGCGACCCTTGGCGCGATCGAGTCGCGAACTGCCGTACATCCCAGTCACCGGTTTCAGGCTCTGGCCCGGAGTCTAGTCTGGTGCTTGTGGCGATCATAATCGTGATCGCATGTTTTCCCAGCTGACAATCAAAAATTACGACGAGCACGCCACCACGCCCGCCGCGCCTCGATGGCCTCGATGGCCTCTCACTCTCGCCCCAACGCCGACAACGGCAGCTGCGTCCGGCACTGTTTACGCGTAGCCTCTTAAACTGCAGGGTCTCGAAAACGGCCAACCGGCGCCTACCAAGCGCTTTTCGTAATCGAGCCAATCAGCTTTTTGCTCCACATGCCCATCCATACGCCTGTAATATGGCTGTTGTTATTATGCTTATCATTGTTATCACTGAGGTTCGAAATCTCCGTCGACCTTTGGCCCCCTTCCAACCGCTGTACCAAAACTGTACCTGCATGGCGGCCCCGGATCTTGGCACCTCCCTCCCCATATAGCATCGTGTATTTGCATTTGGGGTCCTGCTTACCTGCTCATAGAGTTGTTACCTGGTCTTTTCCAACATGTCCGATGGTATGAAAATAGTCTCCAAGGGCCGAGATCCTATTACTCTATACTTGGGAACACTGCCAGAGACGAGGCAGAAGCCGTCAGCAAGGCCACCCTTTGCCATGCCGGCCTTGGTAATATGGCCATGTTGACATATGTTGTCACATGCATCATGTGCACGCCAGCCATGCCAACTCGACCTCATCACTGCCTCTACACTTACCGGAGCCTGAAACTAGACATTTCTTGGGGTTTCGCCACACGCGGCTAAGCTGCTACACCCCACCTACCATGGCTCTACAGCCAAGCTGCCTGCAAACTTTATCCAGCCAGCCTGCAACGTCATTGCGCGTTCGCCCAAACGGCAGAATGTGCCTTGGAAACAAAATGTCCTCACGGCCAAGAGGTTCGTCTCGCATTCCATGTTTCGACGAGTCGTTCCTCCACTCGCCCGCCGACCCGAAACCGGCTAGCCGCTCGCCCGGTTCTGCACTGCCTCCCGTGCTGCCTCATGGCCAATACTCGACACACCGGCCCTCACTCAACCACCCAGGACTCGACTACAAGCCATGACTGCTCGTCTTGCCTAGCGATACATGTACCGATCACGAAATGCCTCATATCCCAGGTCTGCAGACGCCATGCGCATGTCCATCATGCGACCAAGGGCATACAGGCCCTGATGCGGTATCTCATATTTGTTGACAAGGTCATTTCACCTCGCCACTCAATTGGGCCTTGATTGGGTCCCTCGAGAATTACCCCTAATCCCATGCTCGGACCCTCCTCTTGTGCCACCTTGAACCAGAGGCAGGCAAACCAACAACTGTCTAGTCCAACATATGTATCGATAATGTCATTCTGGCACAGTGTAGCTGGTGGAGCTAACGGGTCGTTAGTCTAACTTGTTCACATTGCCAATCCTTTCAGTATGCCATGCTACAGTCGCAACCGAAACTTGTGCGGAAAGCATATTCATTACTTTTTACATCGACGATGCCAACGCAAATCATACTGCTTCTTCGTCGCACGTGGGTTCAGGTCAGCGTACTAACATCAAAGCTCCCGCCATGCAACCCATCCTTCTTTCTCTTCGCACCAGTGCAGAAATCTGCCTTGCACGTTCACCCTCTTTTGCCCTCTGCTCCGTTACGTCTCATAGGTGGGACATGATAATATGCCGACCTTGCTATCCAAGCTCCCCTTGTCCCGCTCTACCTTCCTGCACGGCCTCACCGCCCCCCACTCCGTTTGTCCAACACACCCACACCGCATAGCCCCATTTCCAGTCTAACCCAATTACATTACATCACTCTTCGTTGTCCTCGCCATCTTCCGAGCTAGCTTCTTTTTTCCTCAAGCGTGGCAAGTCAATGGCAGAAACTAGCGCGTTAACAATGACAAACATGGCAATTGCCGAGATGAAGACTAGTCGCAGGCTACGACTGTAGGCCTCGATAACTGGAAACAGGGCGTTAGTGCCATGGCTGTGTCGAGTGGAGCCATGAGGGGGTAGCATGACTATAGGGGCACAAACCTTGGGCTTGATGTTTGGGATCAAGGTCGATTATGCTGCGGACTGATTCACGTACGCGTCGAATAATCTGTGCCAATCTGTCAGCTTGGGACTCTTTTCAAACGGATATGTGTCTTTGTCACGTACCTTGGCCTTGTCATGACCCGTGACTAGTTTGTCCAGGTACGATGCCAATGCGTTCTGCATGATGAGACTGCTCAGGGAGACACCCATGACAATCCCCAGGCTGCGCCATAAGATAAGTGTGCTGGTCATGACAGCTTGGTCCTCTTGGGTACTGGTCGCCAGAACAGCAAGACTCGTTGCTGGAAAGCTCAGGCCTTGGCCAATGCTGGAGGGAACTAAGAATATTGTTGCGAGCCACTTGGGCACGCTGAACATCAACGAGAGGCATGTGGCGCCTAGTAGCATCGAAAGTGACCCGACTACAATGAGCCACTTCATGCGGCCTGTCGCTGTCATGATGAAGCCAGCAGACACGCCGCAAACAGTCAGGGCAACCGAGGGACCGGCAAGACGGAAGCCCGACACAGACGCACTTTCCAGCTCGACCGCCTGGAAGTACAAGGGAGCATTGAACAGAATCGTGTTCATGCCAATTTGGGCAAAGAAGTTGTTGAAGACAAGGCTGCCGCGCGGTTTGCTAAACAGCATGGGAAGCGGCATGACGGGTCGTACAGCTCTCGACTCGACCCTGATAAGCACGGCACTGGTTACGAGTGCTACGACAAGGGAAGTCAGGATGATCCAGTGTGTCCATGGGTAAATGTTGCCTCCAAGGTTCAAGCCTAGAATCAAAAATGCAACAGACACTGTAAGCAATATTGACCCCGCAATGTCGAAGCCCTTCATGGCGTCCCGGAAGCCCAATCCAAAACGTCGTGCCAGATTGGGCCCGAGATGCGACGGAGTCGTGAGCAGGGCGTTGATCAGTAGGACGAAAATGAGTGGTATTTGAAGAGCAAACGTCATCCGCCAGCCTAGTCTGTCGCACAGAAAACCACCAAACGCGGCTCCACAGGCAGCTCCGCCACCGTAGAAGAGATTGATATACGCCTGGTATGTGCCTCGCACTTCGATGCTGACAAGGTCATTAGTCATGATGTTGCCCATTGACAGCACGCCCGCAGCGCCGATGCCACAAAAGGCGCGCGCGAGAATAAAGCTTCCAATGCTCTGCGCGAGAGCACACCATGCAGTCGTGGTGGCAAGGAGGATGAGTCCAGCTATATATAGAGGCCGACGGCCAAACGTATCTGAGAAGCGGCCCATCAACGGCTGGAGTGAGGTCGAGGTAAGTAGAAAGGCCGTGGATAGCCACGAGGCTGAGTTTGAAGCGTGAAAGTAGGATGTGATGACCGGATGGCTGGATGCCATCAATGTAGAGTCAAACATGGCAATCTGGTATCGCGCAGTTAGTTGATCTACTATGTAGCGTGGAAGCCTGCAACGGGGAGTAAATCGCTGGGACGTACAAAGTATCCCAGCAGGATGCCACCGAACACACATCTGAATCTCCAGATGCCGACGCCCTGTAGCTTTCCATTCTCTTCAAACTTGACCAGGTCTCCTGCCTCTGATATTGTTGTTGCATCGTCATCGTCGTCATCATCATCATCACCATCAACGCCATCCTGCGAGCGGCTCCTACTCTTTCGTGATTCCGGGAACTGGGGAGCAGCGCCTTCGCCCTGCTGCGCTACCTCTGCAGCTGTAACTTCGGGTTGAGTGAAAGCAGGGGTGCCTTTGTGGTTCTGCGATGTAGAGCGAAGAAGCGGTGTTCGCTCCGATACAGGCCGCGACATGGCTGCACAAGACCTGGTGGACTTGTGATGAGGATGAAAGGCGTCTTGGACACGGCTGCACGACTTGGAGCCTGCCAGGCCTCGGACCGAAGCAGCAGTTGTAAAAGGGAATGGCGCGCGTTGACCGCTTTCAGGCACCCTCTGCCCTCGTGGTGCCAACGATCGCCAGCGCTAGCACGTCCGAAATCGCCGTTGCTATCCGCTATCAACGACGCTGGATGCTGGCGACTGACCTCAGCACTTGACTCTTTCTCTCTCTCTCTCTCTCTCATTTCCAAATATGAAGACTCCATTGCGCATAGCTATCCTCGAATGTGACACGCCGCCAGCGGCTATCGTCGAAAAATACGGCCGTTATGACCGCATCTTCACAACGTTGCTCGAAGCAGCGGCCACCGAATTGGGCTTGTCTCCCAAACAAGACCTCGAGTTGAGCGCCTTTGACGTCGTCACTGCGCAAGAGCATCCAGACCTCGAAAACATAGATGCAGTCTTGATCTCGGGTTCCAGTGAGTTTTCTTTTTTCCCGTGCCCGCCATGTCATCGTGGTCCGGGGGGGTTTAAGGCATGGCTAATCGCCTGTGCATCAGAACACAACTCGTTTGACAATGACCCCTGGATTGTAAAACTCGTGGAATTCACAGAAAAACTGCTCAATCAAGACCGCATCCGCATCATCGGCGTATGCTTTGGCCACCAGATTCTCGGGAGGGCTGCAGGCGCCAGAGTGGGACGCAGCGACGACGGATGGGAGATCTCCGTACTGCCTGTGCAGCTCACGGAGAAGGGCAAGGAAATCTTCCAGCAGGACACACTTGTGCGTTGCGAAACCCCCCCCCCCGAGTCTCTAACCACCGCAGTCTTCTAACCCAATCCCCCCAGGCCATCCATCAAATGCACAAAGACGTCGTCTTTGAGTACCCTGCAGGCGTAGAGAAACTGGGTGCCTCACCCCGCTGTCTAGTCCAGGGCATGTACAAAAAAGGCCGCTTGATTTCCGTCCAAGGCCACCCGGAGTTCACAGAGCCCATTGTCTCGTACCTGGTCAAAATGCGCGCCGAGCAGGGCATCTTTGAGGAGCAGCAGGCTAGAGATGCGCTGGACCGCGTCGCAAAGCATCACGATGGACTGGTGATTGCAAAGGCGTTTCTCCGCTTCCTGCTCGAGGACTAACTAGGCGAGCGCCTGATTCATCACGGTCAGCGTGTGAGTGTGACGGTGTTGTTAGAAT